CTGATATTAGAATTCTATTGTATTGGGGTGCCTGGGTGGCTCAGTGGGTTGAAGCCTCTGCCTTTGGCTCAGATAATGATCCCAGGGTCCTGGGATCAAGCCCCGCATGGGACTCCCTGCTCAGCGGCGAGCCTGCTTCCCCCCTCTCTCTCTGCCTGCCTCTCTGCCGACTTATCTCTAATAAATAAATAAATAAATCTTAAAAAAAAGAATTCTATTGTATTGGGTTGCTGGAAAAAAAAACAAAAACGAATAGAATTGTTTTTGCTTTAGACATCTGTTGCAAAAGGACTGGTGCTAAGTTTTAATATGGTGGTAAAAAAAGAACCTGCTTGGGTCAGGTACCCGGGGAAGAACATGTCTGCTGAAGTGATGTCATTTCACGATGGGAAAAAAGCCCTAGTCCTGTTCCAGAATGATCTTGCATTCTACTACCTATTTCAGAGCTCTGTTTGAGGTGGGTCCCATTAAGGGATAGGAAGAAAGACATCAAACAGAACTTAAAAATTTATATTGCACTTTGTTCAATTGTAAGGCAATAAGCAGAGGACTCTCCCAAAAGCACAATGTAGTACAAATGACTCATTTACAGGCCCACCCACACCGGGGTTCAAGACAGGGTAGCAACTCCCCTGTGGAAATGGCAAACTGTACCCAGTTTGATAATGTGACCCTCACCATAGGCACAGTAGTTACACAGAATAGAACCATCTTTCATAAAAGAAAGCGGGGGTGGTGGCAGTTGGGACAGAGAGGGAAAGCTCCCTAACTCTGTATACACCGATAATTTGGTTACAAAGAATAATGTAGCCTTGAAGGGAAGAGAGGAAACCCACACAGTGGACACCATGTTGCTGAAGGAGGGCCTGGGGAAGACTGTTCCCAGGCAGCCTATTTAAATGACTTAGTGAATGCTGGTCACACACCGAGGAGCATCTCAGGCCCTTTTTCCCTTCTTTCTTTAGGATAACAATTTTGTAGTTAATTAGGCTCCGGCCTTCTCAGGGAAGCCCAGAGCTGGGCCTAAAGAATAAGATACAGGGAAAAACTGTGAAACCATGAAAATACATTTTTTAAAAAAGTTTTCAGGTATAATACACAAAAGCAAACAAGTTTATCTTAAAAAATATCAAGTATCACATCCATAGACTATTCCTAATTATAATTACTTCTTAAAGCAACATATGTTTTTGTTTACAAATACAGCAGCAGGTGATAAAACCTAACGTCTCAAACAGATTGCTTACAGTTCATAATACAAAACAAATGTCTATGTCTCAAATCACATTTTAGGCAGTTTAACTTAAAATGCATAGACAATCACATACATTAAATTTGTCATTATTAAGTCAATTTAAAAAAATCACAATATTAAGAAAGAATACAAAAAAAAAAACCTTTATAGAGCACGCATAAGTCAAGTTTACTTAATGGCAACAAATCAGTATCTGCTAACCAGTGACAGGCAGTAAGTGCCTTCATCCAGGGAAGAAGTGAAGAGGAAAAACATCCCGTTACTTTGCACACGTGAGCAGTTGCACTGACAAACACTACAATCTTGAGAAACATTAATTTCTTACTTTAAAAAAAGATACACCACACTTTGCTCTTTAAAATGTCCAAAAGCTGGCCTCTCATTTCCACCAGCAGCAAACTAAAATATGTTTATCTAGGTAAACCAAAAATGCGTGTACTAATTCATTCTGTAAATGCCACCCCTAGACGGTAAGCCTCCGAGGGACAGGCCTTCTCTTTTATCTCTGCGCCTCTGCAAGGTGGCAAAGCTCGTTTGGACACTTGAGTGTCTACCAAATGAATGCAGTTCTCGGATGTGTTCTCTAGCCAGAAGCTTGCATGGCATTTCTTTAATACTGATTATTTTATTGGCAATTTTAATTTTACTTGGCAGAATTCTGAAAATAAAAAGGGGCTGTCTTCAATACTCAATATTCTTAATTAAATTTCAGTCTTCCCTGAAAGCTGCCCACCACCTTCTCTGCACAGTACCTGTATCAGTGTGATTCATCTGAATTTAACCATACGCTTTTCAAAAACCAACACCTGAAGGTCTGTGCTTAGGTTTAACGTCAAGGGTATATAACCCTGGCATTTTATAAATCTAGCACTCGATTGTTCAGGTTGAGGAAGGAAGACACTGGCACTGATCATTCAGAAGTCTAGGCAACTGACAGACGTGCGAATGAGGCACAGCATCTTAACTGAAACAGGAGTAGAGCTTCGTTCTTCTAAACACATCATTTTAAAAGCTGTCCACTGGAATACAATAGGCAGCACTTATCATTATTTGTGAGGTAAAATTTTACGGGCAAAACGGACTTCTTTCCTAGAAAATGGGCCAATATTCTGTTGGCAGTGGAGTGCCAGACCAAGGCCAAAATTCACCCCCTTTCTTTTCTCCTCTTTTATTATTCTCTACTGAAAACAACAGAAAAACGGACAAAGGAAGAAGGCCCTGGGTAATTAAAACAAATGTACTGCCTATTCCTGAATAATCAATATTTTACTTGACACAAACAGGCTGTGGAGTCCGAGTTGTGAACAGCCACCTTCAAAAGCATGAAAAGGGGTCAGACTAAGTCCAGTACAGAAAAGGCCAAGGATTTCAAGCACTCCTTTAAGGAAAGGAGCCTTGATTCTCATCACATGATGATGAGGACCCAATTTTCAGTTTTTTTATCATTTTTAGGTTTAACGTTTCAAAATCTAAGATTCCAACTCCAGAAACACGAATCCTCAACACATCGATTATCTCCATCAAATGTGCCTTCACGTTCTTGTTCTGAGAGAGCGCAAGTGCCAGCATATGCCAACCTGTGTACTCCCTGCTGAGACCTAACGAACTTTCTAAGAAACCGTCTCTTCCCTAAACGGATTCCAGCCTAAAAGGAATGGTTTCGAAAGCAACATTATTTCCTTGTAAAGAGAAAAACCTTCCCCTGTGCTATTCCCCATTCCTCCACTGGAACAACTTCTGCTTTGAACTTGACCCTGAACCTAAAAATACACTTCTGTCCCAGAGTACCCACGAGAATTAAGACTCTCCTAGCAGGGTGAGAAATAAGGATCTAAAAAACCAAAAGGAACATAAAAGCAAATTCTAGTCCCTGTGATTTCCATTCTTAGCTTAAAAAGAATTTCACAACTACCAGTTGGAAAGTCCTTGACCAGCAAAGAAAAGCTGTTATGTCTAGGGCACACAGGGCAGTACGGGTCACTAGCCAAGTTTATGTATTTATTGGGAGTAGGAATTCCAAATCTCATGTTCATGGTCCTTCAAATCCTTTAGCAGATTTTCTCCTCTAATAAATGGACTGCATGACCACAGATCCCCAAACCTGCTACCACTTCTCTTAATCAAACAGTATCCTCTAGTGTTACATTAAATATTCTATCTAAAGCCAGAGTTGTCAACTTCTCCCAATGCAGCACAACCAAAATAACCACAAGGAAATCTTCACTGCTATCTCACTGTTCCTCTTACCCCACCCCCGGCTAGCTGACATGATACCGCCTGATCATTTAAGCTAAAATACCTTCCAAGGCTCCTGCCTTGGAGCTACTCTGACAAAGATTCCAAGAGTGTTGTAGATCCGTGCAGCTTGTTCAAGACCGCTGGTGCCACTCGGTAGGAGCTGTCTAACAACATTCCCCAGTCTGAAGATATCTAAACAAATCAGCTTCAATTCTAAAAGCTTGACTCTATCACCTACTTAAAAGGGAGCTTAAACACTGTATTTTTCTCAAAGATGACCATCTTGCTTTCTTAAAAGGAGGTAGCTATCAAACCATTAAACTGGCAGCATTTGGCATTCTTGACATTTAAAATGTAAGAGAAACAAACTACTCAGTATTTTATTTCTAAGCAAAAACAAGAGCTCCAGCATAAATCTCTCCTAGACTAGGCAAGAAATTCACAACATATTTTAGTAACCCCATGGATACATTCATAAGTTCACAATGTTATTTGACAAATAACATAGTCACTTCTAAGACTCTAAGGATCTGATTTAGAGATAAGGTGCCAAAAAGCTACTCAGGCTATTTCGGTGGTTACAAACAACACTAATTTAAGCGACAGTCACACTGCAGAGATCTACACCTTATTATTATTATTATTATTATTATTATTATTATTTTATTAGTTTCAGTGTTAGAGCTAGAGGGTAATTTTTAAGAATTTTTAAGAATGGCACTCAATTCTACCTATTTACCTGTCAACAAAGAACTGAACTGTTAACCATAAGCATTTTACAACAGATGCAGGAAACTATGCAAAAGACAATGACATAGCTTAACCAGACTCTGAAAGACATGTACACGTTTTGATCGCACCTATACAGAGTCACGTCTAAATGACTAAAGTTCTTGAACCATAACTGCTATATGTGTTTACAACAGACCCCTAGAGAGTGCCAGTTTTCCGTATCAGGGAGAAACTAATGGATGTGCTCTTTCTAAAGAACTGAGGCAGAGGGACCTACAGGGAAGGGGCTGAGTAGAAGAGGGTTTTGTGGGAATGCAAGTGACTTGTCACTATGAAGCAATTTCCGGGGTTTCCTCTGGCTTGAGGTTCAAGACAAAGGAGAGAATTATTTCCTTCTTCGAGTTCTTCCCAAAGCAATACTGACATCTCGAAATCTAGGCCAAAGCAATACAGAGATGACCAAGTCTCTAAGAATAATTTACACACATGTTGGCCAAATTTTCATAAATGGCAGATTTTAGAGCTGTGTGACCCATCTGGCTAAAAATAAAGCAAATCAGGTGGAACTCAAAAATCAAAGGAAAGTTTTTACTAAAAGCTCGAGGATAAAAATGAACACTGCCTGGCTAAGGAACTCAACATCTGACAGTAAGTACCAACAGCTTGAAAATATATATCCAAACTACACCCTCACGAGGCCCAGGTGCATTTTTTCTAGCGACAGAGCAGTTCAAGATGTTGAGAGGCATCATTTGTTTAAATTATGACAATGTGATTGTTTTCAAAGTGTGTTTATTTAGGGGAAAAGTGACTATAGAAAAATACTTGAAATAATTCGCCAATGAGGTTGCAGATTCTAACAATAATCCACATCATCTTAGATTTTTAAGTGTGTGGTTTCATAATTTAAACAAATCGAAAACTTGTTTTAAACAAACTGTATCAAAGAGCTATTCAATATACTTCATCACTTTAACGTTCCATAAAAACCGAATAAAAATCACATTTGAATGATTTACTTTTACATTTTTATCTGATTGTATCCATCAGATGTACTATACATCCAAGTACAAGAGGCAGATATCTTCTCTGAGAGGTGCAAGGGTTGTTCTTTCATGAATGCCCTCTAAGAATAGTGAGACCAGCAATTTTGATATATGCATTCATGTGCATATATATGTACTTCAAAAAGCAAAGCGTCATCTCTTCATCCATTAACTTAATGGTAAGACTGCAATAGAAGAAAGAAAAAGTAAACCTCCAGTTTTTCTAAGTGGAGTTTATTAACTCCTTGCTGTGGTTTAAAATAAAATAAACTTATTGCCTAATAAATCCAAATGGCAACTCATCCCATTTACTTTGACATACAATTTGCAAAAAAAAAAAAAAAAAAAAAAAGCTTTTTAAGGGAATTTGGATAGCAAGAAGTTATACTGATGAAAGTCAAGTTTTAGGGGCTTTTTATTAGGATCCTTTTTCCTTGACATTTGAGGTGGGTATTCGATTCATCTAGCTGGAGACCTGATTACTTTGTTAAGAGTAAGTCATTTTCTCCCCCCCGTCCCAACCCCCACGGAGAATCAGGATTCTTTTCTATTTGGTCTTATGTCCAAGACAGGTCCTCCAACTCTGATGCCAACCCTGGCCCTCTGGCTTGGTGGGCAGTGCGCATGAGGCACTGCCTGGGACTGACAGTGCAGAACAGTGGGCTATTCTGGAGCTCAGTGCTGCTGAGGATCTAACAAAACTTTGGCTGAGAAACACGAGGGAGAGTTACAGGAAGGACAAGCAATCTTATGTATTCATTGTCCTAGATGCTCTAAAAATGTACATCTGGATGAAGTCACCCAGGCAGAGACTGTTTTACTGAACTGTGCTTTGGTGTGATGGTACAAAATGCGAATGAGAAATAGTTTAAAAAAAAAGGTCCCATGAAATGCACCTGAGTTTATCTCAAGGGTGTTACTGAGGACACTGCTTTCTACATCACAAAGTCTTTGGGGATCTTTGGGAAATTTTTCTAAGTACCAGGAATACTTTTGTTTTCATCCTTCAAAATGCTTTATCTGAAGTTTGAAATTTACTCTTACCTTATATACACACACCCCTCTTTTAAAAAGTTTTAAATGCTTTCTAATCTTCTATCCAAAACAGGAGGCAAATAATCTTTCAGTTGTGCTTATGTGACTATTAGAGCATTTTAAAGAACAAATTTAACACTCACATGGGGGCCACCAGGCATCGGTGGAGCACCAGAAGGTCCTGAAGGCACTTGAAAAGGATTGTTGGGAGTGGGATAGAGTCCTGGTGTGGGATATGATCCTGCAGGGGCAGGATATGGTGCTGGTGGTCCCCAGGCTCCTGGTGGAACAGTGCCCCACGGAACAGGTGGCGCTGCCCCTGGTGCTTGGGGAGGGGGCGCAGGATATGGCCCTGGAGATGGGTATGGCATGTTAGGGGTAGGATATTGCCCTCCCATTCCAGGTGCCCAAGGTCCAGAAGACATGGATCCCCATGGACCTAAAGGACCAGCAGCAGCTGGATCTGTGGGTGCACCATATGGTCTTGGAAGCTCTGGAAAGGGCATATTTGGTGTAGGATATGGCCCTGTGGGGCCGGGGCCGGGCACAGTTGGGGCTGGATAAGGACCGCCAGGTGGGGGACATGATGGTCCAGAAGGAGGAAAGGGTGCTGGGGGTCCTGGAGGTGGTCCGGTGGGAGGCACAGAGGGATACATTCCGGTTGGTGCTGGTCCAAAAGGCACAGTGGAGGGTGTCGCACTTGGCGGGAGTCCGGACGGCACAGAAGGTGGAGCGCTTGGGTTATTCCAAGGGCTGGAACTCGGCCAGCCTTGAGGAGGCTGGCCAGGTTTTGTATTGCTCACAGCAGAGGTTTTGGCAGGGGAATGTTCAGGTAGTGCATCTGCCAACTGGAAGACAAAACAGGCATGTCTTACCTATCTTATTTAGGGACAAATCACGTCAAACATGATTATAAAGCCATCAAAGATAGTAAGCTGCAGAGCGAGGGACTGCAAACCTCTAGAACATCTTCAACAGCCAAACAGCTCAGTGTAAAAGCAACTCATGTAATATAAAGATCAACTTTCCAATGCAAATTTCTTAGAGAAGATCATATTTTCTAAATACAATTACTCAAAATACTGTGTAACTAAATCCTGGCTTTACCGTAAACAACTTACATACCCTCTCTGAGCTTTAGTTTCTGCATTTAAAAAAAAAAAAAAAAAAAAAAAGTTTAGCATTAATTTGAGGCTTAAATGAGATAATTCATGTAATACCCTTAACATAGTACCTGGTGTATGTTATATTAAAAAATGCTGTCTGTTATTAACACGGCCATGTTAACAGAGAACAAAAGTAACCTAACACTTTTTAAAATTTTTTACTTAAGGATTCATAAATACATACAACAGAACAAAATTTCAAACATATCGTATCTAAGTCAATTAAGGCAGATCATCTATGAAAATCACATCCTCTCCCCAACCAAAAGCAAGGATCACAAAAAGCATCTCTTTTAAATTAAAAGACTTACATGGCCTGCAGTTAGAACTATGTCATTTTCTTAAAAGCCAAAATACTTACAAAGGATAAATGCATCAACTTACCGAAAATTCATCAGACATTTTCCTAAAAAAGAGAAAGAAAAAAAACAAAAAGAATACTTCAAAACCAGTGCTTACTATTTCTTATATATTTTTTAAGGAACTTTCTTTGTATATACCACTGTTACTTAATCACATACGCAAGGTCTTTCTCTTTACAGAGGGCAAACTTTCATTGTAATTCTGTAAATGTCGTCCCCTTCCACTGGCTGCATTTCACATAGAAGTAATCCACAATATAGTCTGCCTCTCATTTTGGTGGTAGTTTACGTTCTTTGCACTTTGAGCTGCTTCAGACCATGATACAGTGAACACTTCTCAACACATATCCTTGTAAATGTGTCATCAGGAAAAGTACTAAAAGGGAAATCTGCGGTCAACAGGTAAGGCTATCTAAAACCCATCTTAAAAGTCCATGCCACCGGACGCCTGGGTGGCTCAGTCTGTTGCCTTCAGCTCAGGTCATGATCCCAAGGTGCTGGGATCCACTCCTGCATCCAGCTTCCTGCTAGGCGGGGAGTCTGCTTCTCCCTCTGCCTGCCACTCCCCCTGCTTGTACTCTCATGCTCTCTCTGGCAAATAAATAAATAAAATCTTATTTAAAAAAAAAAAAAAGTCCATGCCACTTTAAAGTCCTTTGCCAGTTATACCTTTTTTTTTTTTTTTTTTAAGATTTTACTTATTTATTTGAGAGAGAGTGCACTTGTGCTGCGAGAAGGAGCAGTGGGAGGGGCAGAGGGAGAGGGAGAAGCAGACTCCTTGCTGAGCAGGGAGCCCAAACATGGGGGTGGATTCTGGGACCTCTGGATCATGACCTGAGCTGAAGGCAGATGCTTAACTAAATGAGCCACCCAGGTGCCCCTACACTATCTTTGAAAACTCCTATTCACCACTGGAGAGTATTAAATGTCTAAATAGTTTTCAATTATGACAGGTTAAAAATTGACACTGTTATTTTAACTATGGCATTTTTAAAATTTAGTGCAAAGTAGAGCATCTTTTAAAGTTTCATACCCAATTTATAATAAACTTTTTTTGTGGATTTGCTCATGTCTTCGAGCCACTTTTGTCAAATTCTAAAAGTGATGCATAATACTCAATAAAATGCACAGATGGGCAGTGTTTAGATCAACAAGCTCTGACAACTGCATATGCCCCTTTAACCAAGGTACAAAACAATTTCCTTCACTCCAGGTTTACTCATGCTACTTTCCAATCAACTGCCCTTCCACTCACCAACCACTTTTAGTTTTTGCTTATTCTTTGACTTCATTTAAATAAAGACAGGATGTGCTCTTCTTGCCTTTGACAATTTCACTCCTTTCTACTAGTACATCTTTAATGCTTTATAAAATTTTAAGATTAGCTCTGAAACATAGGAGACAAAAAATTCACCCATGCTTTCTAACAGTATTAATATGGTCTAACTTAAAATACGTATTTTTAAAAAATATTTTTATTTATTTATTTTGACAGAGAGATAGAGAGATACCACAAGTAGGCTGAGAGACAGGCAGAGGGAGAGAGAGAAGCAGGCTCTCTGCTGAGCAGGGAGCCCGATGTGGGGCTCGATCCCATGACCCTGGAATCATGACCTGAGCCAAAGGCAGCTGCTTAACCAAAGGCAGCTGCTTAACCAACTGAGCCACCCAGGCGCCCCCAAATACATACATTTTAAAAGATTTTATTTAAGAGAGAGGGAGAGAGAATGAGCAGGGGGAGGAGCAGAGGGACAGGCAGACTTCCTGCAAGGAGCCAGATGTGGGGCTTGATCCCAGGACCCTGAGATCATGACCTGAGCAGTCAGTCGCTTAATTGACTGAGCCATCCAGGCACCCCTGACTTAATGTATAATCTACCTTTTCTCGGTGGATACGACAAGCTACCCTTAACACATTCTACTGCCAGTACTAACAACAAATGGAGTATTTATTACAGAACAGGTACACTGCTCAAAGTGTTTAGGTGGGTAATCTCATTGAATAGAAACAAATTCTTCCATTCAGTTGACAGCTTGAGAAAAGGAAACTCATCAAGTTAACTTGTTTAAGGGGACAGAGCTAGTGACAAGTAGAAGAGGGGTCAAACTCAGGTATACAGTCTGACTCCAGAGCCAAGGCTCTTAACCACCAGGTTAAAGTCTCTGTTATTCCTATAGATATTTTGAAGTCTGTTCTTTCCTACTGATCCGCACCACAACACATTCCATCTTAATTTCATTAGCTTTCCATTTTTAACAGATTTTAATGTTAGTTGACCTACTGCTGTTGTCTTTCCCCCCTAGATTCCTGAATATTCTATTTATTTTTTTCCAGATCTTTTTGTAAAAAAATAGAATAAAAAGAATTTGTTGGGTGTTCTGGTTGGAAGTGCATTGTATTTACAGTTAATTTAGAAGACATGTAACATATTCAAAATATCCAATCTTTTCATTCAAGAACAAGGTATATCTTCCTAGTTCCCATCACTGTCATTCATCGCTCAATAGTTTATTTATTTATTTATATTTAAAGTAAACTCTGGCCCTAACGTGGGGCTCGAACCCACAACCCTGAGAAGAGTTGCATGCTCTATTGACTAAGCCAGCCAGGCACCCCAAGCTTTTTAAATTTTAGTGTATTACTTTTGTAAGCAGTGACATTACTAAATTACTTTATTCCTGAAAGTGTCACAGTTGATTCTCTGGATTTCAGGTAAAGAATTATGTCATCTGTAACAATGATAATAATAATTTTACATTCTCTTTCCAATATTTACATCTCTTTTCTCTGCATCAGCTAAACTTAATAATGAAATGTTAAATAATGAGCACAACAGTCTTGCTCCCAAATCTCCTGGAAATGTTTCTAACGTTTAAATAAAATTCCCATTTTCAGTTTGAGATGAAAAAACTTACATTAAAGATGTCTATTTATGCCTATGTTGCTGGATTTACTTATTCCTATTTTGCTAGTTAAAAAACATTTAAAGGAAAAAACCACTTAAAGACACTGCATTTCTTCAGATCTTTTTGACACCTCACGAGCTGATTAGTTTTTCTCCTTTGACCCACAAAGACAATTATATATAAAAACTGCTTAATACTGAGCCACCCTTGCATTCTTAGAGTGTTACTTTCAAGTACAATCGGCTAACAGGAATGATAAAGAAAAATATGAAGCTACAACTGCTATAACCTTGCTATTTACTCAGATCATCAAAAACATCTAGAATATACAGCAAATGCAACTATCCATTCATTCCCACATTAAGGTTTTATACTAAAACACTGTATCACACAATAGTAAATTCTTAGGATGAACACCTGAAGGGACTTTATCAGTGCATAGCAAGTTTGGAAGTTCAAAGTCTACATAAGATTAACATGCTTTTTGAATAGGGTAAGCCTTTCTGAAACAGAAAATGGTTCTGTATCAAAGTTCACATTAATTCTGAAGCAGAGAACTAACAGAGTAATACATTCAATTTCATGTGGTCTTGCTGTTTGGGTTTTCAGAATTCTCTTTTCTCTTAATTAAAAAAATATATACACATATATATACAATATAAAGTTAACTGGTTGTAAAATTACATTAGAATATAAGTTACTCCACAAATTAATATTATTTAACTGACCCACAACTCCGGCTTTCCAAATTTGAAGTTAAAAATTAAATCCTGGGCACGCTCAGGTGGCTCAGTCAGTTAAGGGTCTGCCTTTAGCTCAGGTCATGGTCTCAAGTGCCCTGATTGAGCCCCGAGTCTGGATCCCTGCTCAGCAGGGAGCCTGCTTCTCCCTCTCTTTCCCACTTGTGCTCTCTCTCACTATCTCTGTCTCTCTCTAATAAATAAAATCCTAAAAAAAGTTAAATCCTGGAAGATAAAGGAAGTATTAGAATCTTCTAAGTAATGAAGCCCTGAATAAAGGGATTAAAAATAGATCATTTCTTGATCTACAGCACTTTTAGTAAAGTGACCTTCTCTCCATGTGTAGAACATACAGTGTTCTTATTAACAGGAAGCATTCTAACTTATTCTTACTTTCATCATAAAAAGGCAAAAAATAGAGTTGGACATTAGTGTTTGAATATGAGAAGAGCTACATAATTTTTTAAATCTAGATTTTCTAAAAACATTCAAAAATACTTAGATTATGCTTATTTTTTAGAGGAGGAACAGAGGGAGAGACTCTTGAGCAGGTCCCATACAATGTGGATCCCCACGTGGGACTCCACCTCAGATCATGACCTGAGCCAAAAATCAAGAGTCAGACACCTAACCAACTGAGCCACTCAGGTGCCAATGGATTATGCTAATTAAGATGAGGCCAATGTAACCCTGAGCTGGCCAAAAAAAGTGCTTATGAGCAAGAGATTTTCCTTTTTCTTTCTGGAATACTGAAAAGCTTATTATTTCCAAAACTTTCCATTGCTACTTTATGGCAGATCTATGCATCACCTGAAAGATAATCATTCTATTTTCTGAGCAGCAAGAATAGTAACTGAAACACAGCACAAATCTCTTTTGACATATACTAGAAAGGTAAAACATTTCTGTAACTCTTACGGCTTTTAGAGTAAAATGGCAACCCAGGGGCGCCTGGGTGGCTCAGTGGGTTAAAGCCTCTGCCTTCCGCTCCGGTCATGATCCCACGGTTCTGGGATCGAGCCCGGCGTGGGGCTCTCTGCTCAGCGGGTAGCCTGCTTTCTCCTCTCTCTGCCTGCCTCTCTGCCTACTTGTGATCTCTCTGTCAAATAAATAAATAAAATCTTTTTTAAAAAATGGCAATCCAATCACAAGGAGGTTTTAAAAGTTGAACTCTGTAAATCACTAGTGACCACCGAACAAGGCCTATTTCAAAGGGTCATCACATTGTGGTGGGGTGATAAAGAACACAGAACTAGAGAGTTATGAAATGTGGACATCAATCCCTTTTGACTAAAGCAAACTTTTTCTTTTTTTTTTTAAAGATTTTATTTATTTGACAGAGATCACAAGTAGGCAGAGAGGCAGGCAGAGAGAGAGAGAGAGAGAGAGAGAGAGGGGAGGAAGCAGGCTCCCTGCCAAGCAGAGAGCCCGATGTGGGGCTCAATCCCAGGACCCTGGGATCATGACCTGAGCTGAAGGCGGAGGCTTTAACCCACGGAGCCACCCAGGTGCCCCGACTAAGGCAAACTTCTTAATCACAGACCATTTCTCATCTGCAAAACAGTTTTAACTCCTGACTACTTTACAGATAATTAAAAGTAACATGTTTAATAATCTATCAAGTACTATAGACATGTAAGATGTTTATTAAAAGAAACTTAAGAGGGGTGCCTGGATGGCTCAGCTGGTTGCACGTCTGGCTCTTGGTTTCACCTCAGGTGATGATCTCAGGGTCATGGAATCAAGCTCCACTTCAGGCTCCCTGCTCTTGCTCCCAGAGGAGTGACCTTGAGATCTACCTCCCCCAACCCCGTGCCCCTGTCCCTCACTTCCACACTCTGTCTAAATCAATAAACAAAATCTTAAAAAAGAAAATTCTCTCCCTCTCCTTTTGCCCCTCCCCGCCTCTTAAAAAAGAAATAAGAAACTAAGAAAAATCAGGATTTTTGCAATGATGTTTGGGGGGGGGGGTAGGGGAATGGTGGTAATATACTGAAAAATACAAAATTTGAATTAGAATATTTGATCATATTTAATATTGGCTCTTTTATCAGATAAGTTCTATTTTACATTTGGGTAACTCAAGGAACTGGGGACTTGATAAAGGTTTGGAGTATTTTAAACTTTTTAAAGACATGTAATTAAAAAAAATCATTTTTTATACTTATGCCTGGAACACACATACCAGGCACTGTGTTGGGTTTTGGGGAAATGAGTAATATTGCACAGAATAAATCCTTAAGGAAATTCAGTCTGGTAGAGAACTACCCTTTAAACAGTTAACTACCTTACCTGGCGTAAGCACAGGGCACCAAGAGAGTACCTCAAAAAACTCCTAAAGGAATCAAGGAAGGGAGTATCAGGGGAGGAATCCTGAGAAGAGGTTCTTTTGCAGTCTGTAGGAACAATGAAGGAAGAGCTGGGAGTAGGGGATGGTGGGACAGGCCCTAGGAAAGAAGAGCAGATTGTGCAAAAGATGAAGAGTACACTATGGGAAATGTAAGCAGCTCAGACGGGTTGAAATACAGAAAGGGGACGGACAGGAGTCTTAGCAGAGCTCCTTTAGGCTAAGGTTTGAGGGTCTCCATCAGCTTCAGCTCACCTGAGTGACTCTGTTTCTTCATCTATAAAGGGACTAGTGACGTGAAAGACTAAATGGTACTGGTAAGTGTCTATAAAAACAGTGCTCTAAAAACAGTGGATTGGAGACACGTACATTCCCCCCTCTTCCTTTGTACACAGGCACGTAGCACAGGTTGAGAATGACGGTGAAAGGTACCACCGCCTAGATAAAACCACAGCTCTTCGCTGGCTGGCTCTGGACAGGCTGAACTCTTCAAACCTCAGCGATGTGGTAGACAGGAATGGTCTCTCTCTCACGGACCTGCTCTGAGACTTACATCATAAACAAATCTCCAGGTCAATGTCTGCCACACAAAGAAAACTGAACAAATGTTAGCTTTTACAACTGCTATTATAGGTCTGCAAACCTTTATCTGCAGTTCTCCATTCAGAAACTTTTGAAAATAAAAGAAACATTCCCAAGTCTGGCACAGAACGGTTGGTGGCAAAATCTAACCTAAGCATATTTATAGTTTCCATTAAGTCACACTTATCACTGCACAAATATGAATGTTGTCTTAGGGGATGTTGCAGGGACTTTGTGGGGCGGGGGGCTGATACCTCTTGTCTGTGCATCTTATTCTCTTCCTAAAATCTAGAGATACAATCCAAAGATTTCTGAATTCCAAAACACACTGGCCCCAAGGCTTGCAGTTAAGGAACGGGTCTACCTCTACTGCTCCTGGAGAGAGGAAAAGAACATTCTAATACACACAACCCAACTGAATTTTCTGAGACAAACCAGTTTCCAATCAGAGACGCCAGTACCAAAAATAATTTCTGTTCTTCCTACCCAATGAATACAGCCGAACAAAGAACTTCTGAAAGATCTCTGAAGGCTATCGTGGCCTGTAATAAACGTTCGTTTCCAAAACAGAGCTTTAAAATCATCAGGTGTAAGACCTGTGTTTTTCTTCAGCTTTAATGCTGTAAAAAATTTTTTTCGGTATGGTTTGATGCCTCAACATTAGAAATTTTATCCAGTAAAAGCACTGCTCTTGGTCTTCAAAGAGGAAATGGTTCAGCTATTTATAAGCTTCCATGTGTAACATAAGCTCCTAAATCCTAAAAAAGAGAGTATCATAGAACTCAGCACTTCTCACGGTCTCTGTCATGTGTATTCATCGAATGTATTTGCCAGCAATTCCTTTGGTTAAATAACGACCAGAACATCGTCACATTGAGGACAATCTTAAACAAGTGCCAGATTCCCCTAAGACTATTCAGGCCCGTATCTCCCGTTTTATTAGAAATTAATAAATGGGGGTGGGGGTCGGGGCCGAGGGGCGCGAGCCGGGAACCCTTTAGGGCCAAACGAACAAAGGGAGTCCGGGATCAACCGGAGCGAACCGGCCTCCGAGCGGGTCCCGCCGACCGGGAAAGGGGTGGGGGTGGGGTGGGGTGCGGTGGGTGGGGGAGGGGCCAGGAACGCTCTCCGCCCCGCCCCCAAGCCAGGCCCGACGTCAAGCGCCGAGAAACCCGTCGGGCGCGACGTCACCCGCCTCCGACGCCTTCTCCCTGGGGGGCTACCAGGGGGCACCTCGCAGCTCGAAGGAAGACGGCGCGGGCAGGCGCTTAGTCCTGGCCCCCGAAAAGGCGACTCGAGGTACCTCTGTTACCGCGCCTGTCTCCCGCTTGGGCACTCCCTTGGCCCCCTCCACGATCCCCACTAGCGCCCAAGCAGCCTTACCCGGCAAGATCCGAGCCCGCAGCAAAGTTCACAAGCGGCGAAGGGTCCCAGCGAACCGGGTGCCGAAGAACCGAACGCGGAGTGACTGACGGTGGCGGCAGCGGCGGCAGCGGCAGCAGCAGCGGCAGCGGCGGCAGCAGCGGCAGCACTAACAGCGCGCGGCTCCTCCTGGCGCCGGAACAGGAAGCGCCGAGCGCACCGCCCCCGCTCGCGCTCTCCCCTCCTCCCGGGGCGGGCGGGGCAGCGCGCGCGCCCCCCGAAGGCCTCCGGCGGCACTGCGGCCTGCCCGGCGGCGCAGCGCGGCCTGACGCGGTGGGTCTTCCGGCTCGCCCCGCGTGGCTGTTTTCTTCTGGCGGGCGGAAGGCTCCCCGGTTTTCCGGAAATTCCTGTAGTCAGTGATGTCCTGGGCACCCTGACGGAAACTGCTAACTTGTTTCCTGGAATGGTGTAAGGACTGATTTTTTGGATGTCCTAGGTTTAGAGGTTTTTGCAGCCGGGTCTCGAAGCGGGCTGGGTGTGAACGCGGCCACCGGCCCTCGGGCCCAAACTGAGGAGAGCTAAAGGAACTGCACGGGGAAGGGGAGACGTTTGTAAACGGCTTGACAGTTGATACTGACTGGAAGTTGTCTATGCAGCCTTTCCCTGATCAGCGCCTCTTCCCTCCACATGTCCATCTTTGAGTAAACCTTTACGTACTCCAGGTCGGGTCTGAAGGATGATTGACACATTGCCCCAGCGCCAAGAAAGCTGCTAGCGAGTTATATAGATGCCATAATTACATAGCGTGAAAATATATGTACATATAATATGTACGTACACGTAAAAACACGTTAGAAGTATGCAGAATCATTAAAACATTTATCTTCTTTTTGTAGCCCGTTAGTGGGTCAATGGGCAGGGAGGGGCATCCTAACTAGAAATTTCCTGGGGCGCCTGGGTGGGTCAGTCACAAGCGTCTGACTTGTGCTGGGGTCATGATCTCAGGGTTCTAGTATTTACCCCTCACCCGGCTCCCTGTTCAGTGGGGAAGCCTGCTTCTCCCTCTCCCAATCCCCGGCTGTGTTCCTTCTCTCGCTCTGTCTCTGTCAAATATTAAAAAAAAAAAAAATTTTTTTTTTTCCTTAAACGAAGATTTATTCCTGGGTATGCTTCACCAGCACACACACGTCTTTTACTGAAAAACGTTGAGAAAGTGCAAATACCCAAGCCTGTTGAAGACATTCTCAGACAAGGAAAATGGTCTATGGAAAATGGTATCAGTGTGAAAGACTTACCTTGCCCTCAGGAGGCAGTGAATCCACAGTGCCTCGTGGAGGTTTAAGGAAGACTGAGTCACCAGAAGTCAGTAAAATTATATGTAAAATTTTGGCATTTCTCTTCATTAGGTATTGTTTTAATTCTGATGTTATTTTTAAAAAATATTTTGAGACCGAGAGAACACAAGCTGGGGGACCCGCAGAGGAAGAAGCAGGCTCCCGCTAAGCAGAGACCCAGTCACGGAGCTCCATTCAGGACACTGGCATGACCTCAGCGGAAGCGCCCCTTAATTCTGAAATTATTACATTGTACTGAGGGCACCTGGGTGGCTCAGTGGGTTAAGCCTCTGCCTTCGGCTCAGGTCGTGATTTCAGGGTCCTGGAATCAAGCCCCACATCGGCTCTCGCTCCGCAGGGAGCCTGCTTCACCTCTTCTCTCTCTCTCTGCCTCTCTGCCTCTCTGCCTACTTGTGATCTATTAAATAAACAAATAAAAAATCTTAAAAAAAGAAAACAAAAACGTTGTACTGAAATACTGCCTTTCATTGCTGAGATTTTTGGTCAAAAAATTTTTGTGCCCAAGTTGAGTGCCTCACCCACCTCACTCTGGTCCTGGTCACGATCAGACTGACAACCTCGTTTTCCCGCCTATCAGCCAATAACAGAATACTGAGTGTTCTAGAGCTAGGCCATTCCTGTCCCATGCAGACTCCCTCAGTCAACCTTTTCTTGAATACTAAATCCCCACCTAACTTCTTCACAACTGCAGTGCAGTGTGAAGCCTACCATCATTGGTCTTTGCATTTCTTACATGTGTGTCAGACTTGCAAAGTGATAGGAAGACATCCACACCTTCTTCCTTCATAGGTGTTCCTCCAATAAATCTCTTGCACATTTATTCACATCTTGGCATCTGCTTCTAGAAGACCCAAACTGACACACTAAAGACAGAAAGTGTATTTTAAATTAGAAAGTGTGTAATATAGATTTAAAATTTTTTTCAGGTTCTTTTTTAGATTTGAGAAAGAGTGCGCTCCCATGAAAGCAAAGTGGGGAGGGCATGGGCAGAAGGAGAGGGAAAGACTCCCAAACATTCTTTGGTGGGGCTCTTAGGACCCTGAGATCATGACCTGAGCTGAAACCAAGAGTCCAATGCTTAACTGAGCCACCCAGGCGCCCCCAACTTTTTTTTTTTAAAGATTTTATTTATTTGACAGAAAGAGATTACAAGTAGGCAGAGAGGCAGGCAGAGAGAGAGAGAGGAAAGCAGACTCCCCGCTGAGCAGAGAGACCAATGCAGAACTCGATCCCAGGACCCCGAGACCATGATCTGAGCCGAAGGCAGAGGCTTAACCCACTGAGCCACTCAGGTGCCACCAATTTTTTGTTTCTAAGTTGAATGGGCAAAGCCAGGATATACAATGTCTTTTGTTTTTAGAGAGAGAGCATTTGCAAAGAAAAAGAGATAGAATCTTAAGCAGGCTCCATGCCCATCATGGAGCCCAAGGCGGGGCTTGATCTCACAATCCTGAGATCATGACATGAGCTGAAATCAAGAGTCAGATGCTTAACAAAATGAGCCACCCAGGCACCCCAGAATACACAATGTTTTAAAAACAAAATACAAAGCCTTTGGATTTTATATATGAAGTTTTAATTATGAAGAAGTGAAAATTTATTCAGATCAATTTATTTGAACTCACATCCAAGAAGAAACATTCAACTTCAGGATTAGAAATAAAAATGGGAACAGTTTACTTCTTTTTTGGTAAGGGGAGGATCATACAAGCCCAGCTGACAAGAGTACTAACAGCTTTGTGAAGTTACTAGTTAAACTGTCTATTCAAGTATATATCAAATTCTTACTTGGTTTATACAGAATTGATTCAATCCTAGCAAAGTCAGGGTAATTTAAGTAAACCTCTTTGAGTTTTACTCTCTTAAGTCTGAAAGCTTAGATTTGATTATTACCACAGCAAAAGTGATTATCTTCACTTCCTGCAAATGTAATCAACTTTTAAAATAACAGGCAAACATCAATTTTACATAAACCTTATTAAGGGTAGGAGGAAACTGCAATTGTTCATTCAATTCGAGTCTAAACCACAAATCCAAATTGTACTGTTATCTCTGTCAAATCAAGCCAAGAAAGCCTATTACAGACTATAAGAAGTGAATGTGAACTTGCAGGATCCACTAAGGGGATACTCTGAAAATCTATCATCACGTTACTTTCAAGAAATTACAGAAATTACTTTCAAGTATGCTCCAAGGGTCACCTCTTAAATGAAGAATTAACCTTCAGGAAGTCAGGTGACAAGTATTATTTATCTACATTTTATACGCTAAGAGATGAAGATATTTAGGATTGAGTAATCTATTCAGAATTAAACAAAAAATAGACTCCACTTTTATTTGAAATAGGATTAATGTACCCCAAGTCCCATTCCATTGGGTCATATCCATTAGTCTACACTTCTTAGAAGCCAATCCATTTAAAAAGTCACCTCCACTGTGTCAAATATCTTAATATATTAGAATGGCATAGGCAGACTCTTGTAGCATTTCTACTAGGTCATTAAAAAAAGAAAAAAAAAACTTTGTGCTTTCTGTTCATTCTCTAGAAATAAAAATAAATGTAAAACTGATTAGAGTTAAAACCAAAATTGTAAAGATTTTTTTTCCAAAATAGAAACAATAGTCTGCTTGATTTAAAATCTTTCATTCATTTGGGTATTATTTAACACATAGGAGTTTTTTTTGTTTTGTTTTTTTTTTTACATTTAAACATTGTTCTCCCTGTGTTGTCTCCAGAAATAGTTAAGTCTACTTTCCTGTGAAATTTACTCCACCAAAATCAATATATAACCTATTTGACTCATTATAAATAAAAGCGACAAAAAAGTTTTTAAATGAAAACTAAGTATATTTGTAAGAGTTAGGTTTCAAGGTTTTTGTTTCAAAGGAAAAAACTGCTCTATTATGTGGGTCTATAAAATGATCCAAACTTCAGAGAGACAGGAAGCTGATAACTTGATTTGTCTTCTTAATGGCTTTGGCTCATGAATAAATGATAATGGCTTGTGTTTTTCTTATAAAAAGAAATGGAATTTGTATGAGTCCTATTGGCCACATTTACTCTACTTTTTAAAGGATTTCTAATTACTTAGACATTCTTTATATTATTTATAATAAGTCACAACTTTAACTGAAAGCCATTCTTTGACCATTAGCTGAAATTCAGGAAAGAACACAGTTCTGTTCACCAAATCAATAAATCAAACCACAGGCTGACTAAAAGCTTCCTTTAATCTTCTTCCTTTAAATTAAACCATTCTTTCTATGAATTATTTAAGTGAATGGCATAGCTACAGAAAGATCACATAGGATTTTTCATACAAAAATGCTAAAGGATCCTAAAAAAATCCATTCAGAATATTTTAGGAATTAGAATATGAATCAAGATGCTATAGCTTTAAAAAAAAAAAAGTGCATGGTGGTGGTGGTGGGATTGTCCTGAAAAGCTTGAGAAATAGAAAAGTCAAGTTTATTTCCTGATTAGTGCAGGATGATTCCCAAAGCGCAGTTAAGTGTCTGGTCCAGACCAGCTATTAGCAGTTAAGTAGTTCCCTTTCACTATCAAGGCTCTTCCCTGAGGTGATGCCTAAATTCTTAATTTTAATATTTTATCTTGTTTCTTTTAGCTCCATCTTCTCTCACCAATAAGCTCTAGACATTTCCACCATGCTGATGCTTTCTCAACTCTCAAATTTACACTTTTCAAATGCCCACAAACCCAGAGTTACAAAATTTATATTTAGATATATTTGTATCTTTCCTTACGTTCCTTTCATGACTTAGTCACTTTTGTTTTATATATTCCAATAATTACATATTTTACATTTTTAAAATAAGTTTGTGAATACTGGATGCTCTTCCAAATTTATCCTCACAAAGTAAGAGAAAGGTATTAACCTTTCTGAATTCCAATTCTTTAATGTTTTAAAAAATTAATTACTCTTTCCTTTTTCCTTCGTGGTAAACAATTTCCTTCTCAAGTCTTTATACTTGTACTTTCCATATTTCTTTTCGTTCTAGCAAATACCAAAGGAAAAATACAAACCATTTCAGAGTAAATGAGTCTCTTCCCTGCTCTCATTTATTAGATCATTTACTTCAAGGATATATATATGGCAGTATTTTGAAAATGTTAACAGTTATTAATACCTTTAAGTTGAAAAAATAAGAAAGCCAAAGAAAATATATCACAAGCAACCAGTTTGAATATATGAAAAGCTACTCATATCTTGATTTTCATATAAACATTAATTTTTACCATTATAAAAGACAACATAATTATATTTCATTTTTTCTTTATAAAATTACTCTATAACAGAATATTTGTTAGCTAGTCATCCCTTAGGTTTTTCTGTACTGATAAAAAGTTACTTTTAAAAGAAAAATATTTAAAACAATAATTGTTTCACAGAAACAGAAAGTCTCATTATCAAATTCTGATAAAAAACTATAATCATGGGTAGAGTCTTACTACACTATTAGTGTTCTTTCACCAAAAATGGATATTTAGGAAGTGGTTTATTGGTAAATAAGACAAGCTTCTCAGTGATCTACAAAAAGTGTCACAATAAAGATGAGGTAGTATGAGACTTTTCTACTTTTGTAAAAGGGAAATATCATCTTTAGAAGAGATATTTATCCTGATATCGGTGTTAATGATATCCTGAGCCTCATTACTCCACAGAGAGGTGCCATAATTAGTAGTTACCCTACCTGGAATAAGACAATCTTGAGATCACTGAGAAAAAAAAAAAAAATGCTAGAAAATGGTAAGAGATTTTCTTGGTTTAATTTTGTTGTAATTGCTAAAAATTTATTTTAAAGCTATTACTGAAAAATGCCATCTTTATGTTTACAACAGAACTGCATGAAAGGGAAATGCTACTTCAACAGAAAAGCAATGATACTTAAGAAACATCTGTTCTAACTTGGAAACTTGAGTCAAATTTCTTCCAATCCAGGTAGAAGCAGCTTCCTACCAGACCTAAATTAGCATCAAGAAATCAATTACTAGGAAAAAAAAATCAATTACTAGGATATTAAAAATGCCAATTTGTACAAAGGGCTAGACAGCTCACCAGAAGAAGTAACTGTCTAGGAAATTTATCACTCCATTTACCTTTATCATACTGGGATGACATTCCTAAAAATGCTTCTGTACTGGGATAGCAAATTTAAAATACTACTCCTAGTGCCTAGTGCTATTCAGTATGGTGTAAGCCATGTAGCTCTCAAAATGTTTTCCCTTTTTAGAAGCCACAGTAAAGACATGTTAATTCTGAAGACAGGAATAATTATTTGAAACTTGAAAATCAAAACCAATATTAAGTTTCAGAAAACCGAGCTCCATGTTTTACTTCTTGAATCCTTAGTGAAGCTCACTTTAAAATAATGAAGACTACTTAGGTCCTCTTTGGTTACTGATGGAAATTTCTGGCTGTTTATAAAACCGTGGCATCTCCCCAAAATATCAGGCTCAGAGTTTCTATGAAAAGGCTAATCAGAAGAAACACGTCATAAGTAAATACAGAAAAACCCCATAGTTGCTTTAATATGTTAGTAACTACTATACTAATAGTGTTATTATTTTTAAAGCTTCCAGTGAGAAAGGAACAATATTTGTTCTGAAGATAGCAACTCATCTAGGTTGAGTGAAAGACCTATTCAAAAATAAATGACCATGCTACAGTGTAGAAAATAAATTCACTTCCAAAAAGTCATGTTCTCATTTGATTCTTCCTAATCAGATTAATCAAATTTAGTAATACTGCTTTATAGTTAGTACTTAAAATGAAAAGACTTCAAGTTTAATTTCAAACCATTTTGTTACCTTTAACATCCCTATTATTTATTATTAAGGTACAAGACTCAATTACATTGATATGGATTGTGAATTACAACACACTCAGGTTAACTGAAGAATTTTAAAACAACTCGGGAAAGGGGGATGAGGAAACTATATTTTATGTATAGGAATGCCAATGGCATAGGTTAACAAGGGAACATGTAGGAAAGGACATAAGCTTACTTTTAAAGGAAAGTATGAAATATAGATTATTTAATTGTATTTGCAATGCCTACCAAATTTCAAATATCCCTGGACCTTAAGCAAATTACGATTAAGAAAAAAAATTAAGTATACAATCTATCTGTAAAACCAAAAACCAAACACCTGGTCAAAAATATTCATTAACCCCTAGTAACTTTAAACAATTAGTTTATCATAAGAAAAATAAACTGATCTGGAAGTAAAATTTAGGGCAGAGATTTATTTTAGATTTCAACTGCCCTTGTAGAAAAATTCAAAGTGACATAAGAAAAATAAAATATTAAATGAAAATATGTATATAATCATTCGCATATTCCTACACATTCCCTAGCATTGTTCTGGTGCATCAATCCTGAGTACTCTAACTTTTGATTTATAGTGATATTCCTTCAGATATAATTTCATAGAAGAAGGAATTGGAAGGGCATCAATGCCATCATAAGTTGTACAGTTACAAATAACTGTTCTGCATATATGCTGCAAGGAAAAGGGGAAAGTCCGAATTAAAGGAGTGGATAAAAGTGGTTCGAAGAACATACAGGCACTTGGGTCCTTATAATGTTCTAGGAGCCCAGTAATGTCAGGAGAATGGAAGACACAAGGATCATGTGCATCAAAGCTAAAGTTGTGATTCCATTGTTCAATTCTAGCATGAAGAGAACGACTATAGCGTCTAAAACTAACTGAGAATAAATAGTCTTCCTGTGCTGAGTCTCGAAGTAAAAAGGTACCCTCTGGTTTTCCCTCTAGTAGAGCTTCAGCTGCATATTTATCCATAACTCCCCAGTAACATGGATTGTTATTGATCTGCAGGAGGTCTGGTACAAGACAGTGGACATAATCAATCTGGGTATGGTACTTAGGAGGTGTTTCCAACTGCAGGATTTCTTCATCCATTTCCCATTTGGGTTTGTTTCTTTTCCTGGAACTTGTGCAAAGTGTAATAATTTCGTCATCCGAATCCATATCACTATCTTCTATACTGTTATTTGAAACCAGGTTCATCACAGAGCCAGTCACGGGACCACCTCTACACGAAGAAGCACTGTTGGTGGTTACGACACAGGGCTGAATATTGGTTTGTGAGAAGCAGTTTACCTCTTCTTCCACGTTTCTTCTTTGTTTTAGCTGACCATCCCTCAATTCACTCTGAGATGAGTCTGTGCTTACCCATTCATTGGATTTGGGATTTATAGGAGCAGTGTGTCGTTTAATAAAGTGCCACCTAAAGGCTAAATCTGATCGAGGTGGGAAAGGACACTTATCTAACATGAGTTCACTGATATGAATTTTCCTTTTAGATGGAAGCCCCGAAGAGTGCCGACCACTACAATTCTTTATTGGAAAACACTGCCCCACAGCATCTTGCAGTTTCTGTTTAAGAGAGCGGCCTAAAAATCTATGCCCACAGGAATGATCTAAATCCAACTCAATAGATGAACAGCTGTGCTTCCTTTCTTGGCTCCGTAAAGGAACTTCAGTTTTCTCTACAGCATTCACTGTTTCAGCATCTGAACAACTTTCATTCTTTTTTGACCAAGATAATTTCTTTCCACTCCACACATAACCGTCCTTTCTGTCAGCACTTCTACTTCGACTAGTTTTGGGCCTCACATCTACATTTTTGCTAATACTGTCACTATTTTCTGCCATTTTAACAAATTATCCACAAATTCCAGTGTTATAAATACTGCTTTTTCAGTTTTTCCAGCAGGAAGTTTCTTCTGGGCACTCTCTGGATATATCTAAAGGAAAACAAAACAAAACAGCAGTCATTTGTCATTCATTTCTTTTTTAAAATTTTTTTTGAAAGAGAGAAAGAGAGACCACAGGAGCAGGGGAGGGGGAGAGGGAGAGAGAGAATCCTAAGCAGGCTCCATGCTCAGGATAAGCAAGTGGGCAGGGGTGGGGTAGGGGTGAGGGGCAGAGAGAGGGGGAGAGAATCTCAAGCAGACTCCACACTGAGCACTGAGCCCAACATAGGGCTTGATCTCCTGACCATGAGATCATGACCTGAGCTGAAACCAAGAATCAGACAAAGTTTAACCAACTGAGCCACCCAGGCATCCAACTGTTATTTACTTCACATACAGTAGTTTCTATTTTAAGCCCCAATCAGACATAAGATGAAAAAGCATAACTAGTACATGAACAAGATAAGAGTACTGGATATGTTGGAAGACAGTTCCAAGATATTTTGTTTTCACTTAAATGATCTGCTCTTCCATATACTATAATTTCATAGTGCCCAGGAGTCAAGAATATACATTCTTCTCCTACAGTTAATTTTCAATGTAGGTTGGAAAAAGTGAGGCTGCCTCGTAGTCCAACTGTATGCTCAAAATGTGAACAATTTCTAGTCTTGAGGTATACCTTATGCCAATCTCTCCCCTTATTTTTATTTCACAGCAGACCAGTCAGTGAATTGATTACAAGAGGTAGAAATACATGAGTTGGTGTTTGAGAACCACCACCCTATAGTTTCCCTCAACCTCCCTCTCCTTGCTTTGTTTCCTATTTTATTTTATATAAAATATTTTATTTTATTTTATATTTCCTATTTTATATTGAAAATATAAACTTTAAGTTATAAAAGCTGTTGAGAATTAAATAATCACCACTGAACAACAGGAATGTCATGCAAGCATTCCCAATGCAGTTTTGTCAACTCATTTCAGTAACTGGTCAACTTCACTATCAGTCTAGGCAGTTTTTAGAAAATAAGGAATAGGATAAAAAAATCTGTTACTTTACACATACACCCTTGTATTTTTCTTGGTAATCTTGAGAAACAAGCAGATAAATTTCTATAGAGCAATGACTGTCTTATAAAACTGGCTACAGGGGCACCTGGGTGGCTCAGTGGGCTAAAGCCTCTGCCTTCAGCTCAGGTCATGGTCCCAGGGTCCTGGGATTGAGCCCCACATTGGGCTCTCTGCTCAGCAGGGAGCCTGCTTCCTCCCCTCCTCCCCGCCTGCCTCTCTGCCTACTTGTGATCTCTGTTAAGTAAATAAATAAAATCTTAAAAAAAAAAATTGGCTAGATATATTAGAATTAAACAATGTGAAGCACTGAGTTTTATTAAGACTAATAGTAATGATTGGTCATAGAGGGGATTAGCTTAACTATTCTTAGGTGGAATATTAAGTCCAGAATTGGGATTCTGTAATCCTAAATAAGGATTTTATAATCTCAAATATTTTGCAAATGAAATTTGAATTTGGAGACATTACAATTAAGTTTCTGATTATGTCAGAGGAACATTAGAATCCCACCAGTCACGTAAATGTTTAGAGCCACCTGAATGCATTTTCAAAGCAATAGGATTTTTCAAGCAAGCATCTGTAGTAGCAAATAAGACTGGCAAGTACTTAAAAGTGTGAACTAATGAATCAGACTTGCCAAATAAAATACTCCATTTCTGAACGCTGAATAGCACCTGGTGATTATACAGACTATTTTGTTTAGTGAGCTCACTAGTGTACACTCATTTAAAATCCATAGGGAAAGTATTTTTAAATCTAATTTTGGGGGATACATCATCATTTATTATACCAAAATTATATTCAACATTATGCTTTGGCTGTTTGTTGACTAAGTTCCACTGAACAAAAATAAACAAGAAGCAACAAAGTAAGCTGAAGAATATGAAGAGTCATTGATTAGAAGAGACACTTGTTATTAAGAGCTTATATTTAAACATATTTTTCAAGATAAAAAAGTAATAAAGGAGCCCTAAGCAGACCTTTTTCATTAATACTACGTAGTTTCTACTTTTTTAATTCAGTTCTGAAAAATGTGTAAGATCTGAAATGCCTGGTGATTTACTAAAAAAATATCCAAACAGCAGTTTATTAAACTCTATAAGCAACTTTACTCCACTGAATATAAACTCCCTCAACTTGCCTATTAACTCTACCTTGTACCATTTCTTCTTTCACTTCTATTATCAAAGATAAGCTCCCTATCTCTGTTCTTGATGGCATTCCCATCTTTACCAGGGCCTGCTTCAGTTTTTCTCTCTCAAGTTCTCTCTGCTGTCAGTAACAACCAAGTCTCCTATAAAATCCTTTAGTGATTCTAATGCTTCCTTTAGCTACTACACCTGCTGCTTCCCATTACTAAATTTGTTAGTGAATATTGTAACTTCATTTCCCCTCAAAATGAGAACAGCTTTTTGTTTTCTTCTGATTATAAAATAAGTAATTGTTTGGTTTGAAATGGCCAAGTGAAAATCTTTTTTGCTCTATCCTCTCGGAAGTCAACCTAAAACAAGGAAAAAATTAGAAAACACAAATCTTATCTTCAACAAGACTAGCAGATGTCTACAACTTGAATCACAAAATATAAGGACAGAATATGAATGGAGGAGCAGTAAATAACTCAGCAGCTGAGAGCTAGGTAACACTAGGCACAGAGATGACATGGATGAGAAGCAAACCAACAGAGTAAGCAAAGTCCAGGACCCTGAGGCACCAGAGGATACAGAAGTGGGTGGAGAACAGGGTAGAAAATATGCACAAGTACAACTGGACCTCTCCATTTTTTACTCCTACACTTAGAGGAGATGGGATATTTATCATTTGGGGAAAAGGAACTAGTGAGGCCCAGAACTCTGGATATCAGACATAGAGGGCGGAGGGGAGGTTTGGGACAAAAATCAGAATGAAAGCTCCTACTTCCTTTTTCCATCCAACACCCAAAACTCCAGCAGCCAGACTTATACCTCCTAATAGGGGACTAAAAGATTTGCAGAAGAAATAGAATGGCCAAAGAGAAAAGACCTCTAGATGCTGAGAGCTGGGACTCCACCAATAAAAAGCTTGGGGGGAGGTGCCTGGGTACCTCTGTTGGTTGAGCGATCCAAGAGTGGACTCTTGACTGTGGCTCGGGTCATGAGCTCAGGGTTGTGAGATCAAGCCCCTTGCCAGGCTCCATGCTCAGTGGGGAGTCTGCTCCAGATTCTCCTTCTCCCTCTTCCTATGCCCCTCCCCTGACGTATACTCTCTCTCTCTCTAAAAATAAATAAATGAATCAAAAAGAACAAAATAAAACAAATAAAACTGGAATACTCATCCAAGCATTCAGAGAAGCTTGCCAGTCCACAAGCCCCACCTACTCACACACAGCTGTCGGGCAGCATTGTTGTGCTTCATTCACTCCACAGTATGAATGGTCACAGGTCATCAGATTTTTGAGGAAAGCCTCTAACATGAACAACAATAGTTTTTGAGGCTAACTAAAAGCTTAGAGAAAACAATCACCACAAAAAGAGCAGAAAATAAAATTGATTTCTTCCAAGTTAAGAGAAGATATCACACCTATGAATAAGTAAGAGGTGTCTGGGACAATCGGAGAATAAGAAAGTTTTGTAAATTAAGAATATGATTACAGAGATAAAATATTCAATAGTAAAGTTTGGGAGAATAAATTGAGGAAATAACATGAAATAGGAAAAAAATGGTTTATTAGACACAAAAGGTAAAAAAACTTAGAGGATCACTATAGACATTTCACAGAAAATAACAAAATGAAGAAGGGAAACTATGTTAGAAAATTTCTCAGAACCAAAGGATATGTGCATTCATACTGATAGAGTCCACTGAGTACCCAGCACAATGGGGGGAAACGCACACCGAGCTCTATTATTCTAAAATTTAGAACCCTAGAGATAAAGTGGAGACACTAAAGTTAAGAGGGCAGATGTCATGTTAAGTGTTCTTACCACAGTTAAATAAAGAAATAAGTAAGTCCACACCCCAAACTAGATAAAAATTAAAAAACAGTCTTCCTGGGGCACCTGGGTGGCTCAGTGAGTTAAGCCTCTGCCTTTGGCTCAGGTCATGATCTCAGGGTCCTGGGATCGAGCCCCACATCAGGCTCTCTGCTCAGCGGGGAGCCTGCTTCTCCCTCTCTCTCTGCCTGCCTCTCTGCCTACCTGTGATCGTTCTCTCTCTCTGTCAAATAAATAAATAAAAACTTTAAACCAAAACAAAACAAATCTTCCTGAGGAAAAAAGGCCACAAAGGATTGTAAATAAATGGCATCTGGCTTCTCAATAGTAACACTGGAAGCCAGAGGCTAGTTTGGGAAGCTAGAAGCTACTTTCCAACTTTGAAGAGATAACCAGCCAAATTATCCATCAAATATGAGGATAAATTAAAGAAATTTTCAGATATGCAAAGCATTAACAATTTTACCTCATATTGCAAGATACAGTCTTCTAAAATTAGAATGTACACCCACAACAAAAGACATAACACAGGAAATAAAATTTAACACTAGAGAGAGGAAATGTGAATTCTTAGGATGATGAAGAAGGAAAGTCTCTAGATAATAGGGTCTCCAGAGCAACTAGTCCACTTAACGACACAAGGCTATAGACTCCAAGGTGGAAGATCTTGAGGGGAAAAAAAAAAAAAAGAACAGACTTCTGGAAAATTCAATTGAGAACAATGCCAACAGAAGAAGAATTAGGTAATTATCAATTACACAAAAATTCAAGAGTTATACAAGAAAGTAGAGTTGTAAAACATTTGGCTCAGGACTGAAAATATCATTTACATATTCATCAAAACTGTGATATGAATGCAATCAAGAAAATGGAAAGATGGGACACCTGGGTGGCTCAGTTGGTTAAGCATCTGCCTTCTGCTAAGGTCATAATCCCAGGGTCCTGGGATCAAGTCCTGCATCACGTTCCTTGCTCAGCGGGGAGCCTGCTTCTCCCTCTGCCTGCCGCTCC